GGGGCAGGGGGAGACACTCAACGGGCAGCTGCTGGAAGGGGCAGGGGGGCCCTGGGGACGGGGGGGGCCCTAGCATGGGGGTCCAGGGTGGGAGGAGCCCGAGTGGGGGCGATTGAGGGCATGAGGTGATGCTGGGGGGGGGCTTGTCCGGTTGGATCCTGCCCCCCCCCCCATGCACAGGCTGGGCTGTGGCGGGGCGTCTGCGGGGGGCTGGGCGCTCCGGGAAGTTCTGTGGTGACTTTGTGGGGTCCTTTGTTTTCACTGGGGTCTCCCTGCCTGCAGCGCGCGCTGGGGGGGGCGGGGCGGGGCTGGTCCTACGCGCATCGGGGGGGGGAACAGGGGCTGCTCCAGTAGCGGCCCAGCACCCGGGGGGGGGGGGGGGGCAGGGACAGGGACCAGCCCAGAACCAAACACCCCAGGAGACAACTCCAGGGTCAGACCTGCCCGGCACCCCCCCAACCCTCCCCCCGGGTCTGCTCAGTGCAGGGCCCCGCACTCCTATTACCCCCAGGGTCTTCCCCACCCAGGACCCCGCATCCCTTCCCCCGCCCCAGAGTCTACCCAGCCCAGGGCCCGGCACCCCCATCCCACCCGGGTCTGCCCCGCCCAGGGCCCCGCACCCCCGACACCCCCTCCCCCAGGGTCTGCCCCGCCCAGGGCCCTGCACCACCATCCACCCCCACCCACAGCCCTGCACCCCGTTCCCCAGGGTCTGCCCACCCAGAGCCCCTCCCTCCAGGGTCTGCAGAGCCCAGGGCCCCTCACCATCATCTTCCCCAGGATCTGCCCCCTACAAAACCCCACACCTCCATTCCCCCAGTGCCTCCAGCCCCATTGTCCTGGGGGAGGAATCTGGGGGGGGGTTCTGGGCAGGGAGCGTGAGTAACACCCTCACCCAGAGCCCCCCACCCCAATTCTCGGGTGTCTAGCCCGGGGGGGCGACTTTGGGCAGCCCTTGTCGCCAGGCCTGGACCCCCGGCACGGCTCGCGGGGTTCCTAGGGCCTCTCCCCACATTCCCCCCAAGGAGCTCGCCCCGGCCTCCGGTCCCTCGTTCCCATGTCAAGGTGCCCAATCGCCTTGGGTCGTGCTCTGTGCTGGGGCCATTCCCAGCAGGCAGTGCCCAGGTGGCACCGCTGGGCACCCGCCGTTTGTCAACACCCCAGTCCGGGGCTGCAAACTGGGCTCCCCTTTGCTGCCATTTCCCTTTGCACCGGACCGGGGTGAGACAGGGGGAGGGATTGAGGCCATGGGAAGTGTGCCCCAAACCGCCCCCCGCAGCGCCCCGTGCTGACCCCGCCCCGCGCCCTGCAGCGCCCTGTGCTGACCCCGCCCTGCGCCCTGCAGCGCCCTGTGCTGACCCCGCCCCGCGCCCTGCAGCGCCCCCTGCTGGCCCCGCCCCGCGC